TACTGAATGAGGTATGCAACCATGGCTGGAACAGATTTTTTTTTTATGTACTTGGCAAAAGTTACCTATATTCCTAACAGAAAGTGAGCTGCTAAACATTAGAAAAATATCTAATTGCTTTTAAGAGCACAAGAAGCTCATTCTTCTTGGAGGTTCACAGCAAAGGACCAGGACAATCGACACAAGCTACAGTATGGTAACTTCAATTAGGCTTTAGGGAAAAAAACTTCAGTGACAGTGGTCAAACACTGGAACAGGTTACTCTCACAGGCTGCATAATTTCCATCCTTTGTGATTTTCAAAACTCAAGTGGACATGACCCTGAGCAAACTGATCAAACTTTCAACCAGACTCAGCTCTGAGCAGAGAGGTGGCCTACATGACCTCCAGGTCTCTTCCAATCTCAATTATTCTGTAGTTCTGTACCCCAGCCGCAGCTCACCTAGGTTATAACAGAAATTATTTCCTCACTACAGCCTGCAAAAGCCAAGCGCTGGATCTGAAAGCCAGTTTCCTCTTTGCTTCCTAGACCTGATTTGCTTAGCCAGCTGACCTGACCCATGCAACCATAGAACTAGATTAATACTAAACAGTCACACTGACCAAATGAAGCGACTAGCAACTACAATTTATGAAACCAACAAAGAAAAGGATGTGGCAGAAAAATATAGAAAGCAGCAGGGCAGTAAGATAGCCCAGGAAGAAACAGGTAAGTAAAATATTACAGGGAAAAAAACAGTAAAGTCACCAGACAGAATGGGTGGCCAACAGAATGGGAACTGCACATCAAAGCTTCAAGTCAGTTGTATTATATTACATAAAAATTAGGAGGTAATGTGAGTTATTTCATAACAGATGTATAAAGGCTGCTATCTCTCTTCATTGTCAATCCACCTATGGATCACAACCTACCACTACATTTTAGACAGCTACAGCCTGAACAGGCATTTAGACTTTCTCACTTTGCTAACGACATCAGAAATCATCAACGATACCCCAGAAAAAAAATACACCTGTGCCTCTATTTCTTTTAGAGGTGAACAAAAAAAGCACTGAGAAAATTGCACACACAAAAACTATGTTAAAAAATTAGGGTTCGAAAGTCAAGCTCTGAAGACTTAAGAAAACCTTGTGACTTCAATCAAACCCTGTGACATAGGCTTTAAGCTTTAACTATGTGACTAAATACTACTTATCCACACAGAATCCATCTTCTTTCAGCAGGTCACAAAGATGAACAAGCATTCAAAACCTCGCTTTCTCCACAACTATTGTATGTCACAATGTCACATTTAGTCAATGTGATTCAAGCCTTGCTTTAGAACTACAAGGAGGAGAAAATCCAGGAGAGATGCAAAAGTCATAACCAGCCACTGATTTTGGTTGCCTTATTTGAGATGCAAAGCATTCTGAAAAAAATTGGGTCCTAGATAGTGTAAGGCACAGTTCCCACAGGCAACATCATCATTACTTCAAAGCTTTAAATTTCCAGACTCTTCTGTGCTTATGTGGTCTTGATAATATTCTTTTAAACACAGCTTGTGTATAATAAACATCTAGATTGAGGTAAATTAGTTTACAGTTATGCAAGAGATTTCTCAAAGTACCATTCAAACCAGTGCGACTCCTCAGATACTTCCAACATATGTTTAAGTGTAATACACCTTACCAAAGCAGTGTTTTTACACAGAAAAGGGAAAAAAAAAAAGATAGCTCACCTTTCTCCTAAACCACATACAGAAATAGCTCAATATTAAGAATTGTATTTTATGAGGTTTTATTTTAATGAAATCAACAGGAATTTCACTGTGCCAAGCTGCCTGTTTGGGAAAGTACTTTAGAGCATTAACCCAGTCCCATCACATAATTCAGGCTTACATAAGTATCTAATTATCGTCAGCTGGAAATGAGATGGTTAAACAATTTTCCCATTCAAGTTCAAACTGTGCTACTAGCTAGGTTAGCAAAATAAAGACTGCTAGCAAATTACAGAGCTAAAAAGTGCACTGTTCTAGTAAAGCATTTTATATGTCTGTGCGAGGCAGCATAACCTGACAAATTTTGACCTGAAACTCTACTTTTGTGTACTACAAGTAGGATTTCTTAGATGACAGTTACACTTTCCTCTTGCCTCACCTCATTTTGAACAAGTAAGTCTGACATCTTTTGAAGCATTAAAAAAACTCCAAGAATAACAAACCAAACTTGCTCTGCCCACCTTGCTACTTGTAACAAAATCCTTATGGATGTTCCATGTGGCTGCAGGCCATGGACCTTCACATTTAGCCACCAGGACTGCTTATGGATGTGCATTGCCCTGGGAGCACATTCCGAGACAACCAGAAAAAGTCACGTAAGCCTCTTCCTGATCTTCTTTACCTCATCCTTATGGACAAGTGGGAAACCACCAAGCCTTCACCTACTCCCTCTTCAACCACTTGCACAAGCAGAGAAAAAAGGAAGAAAGCAGCCCTGGCACTTCTAAGCAGCTGACTATGAAAAGCAGCATTTTATAGTGCCAGAAATCCTCAATGCAGGGAAATTAGAGCACTACCATTGAGCACAGAGTTAAGGGAGGCTACCTGCAGATAGACTATGTTACAGATAGACTATGTCCACACTAGTTAAACCAAGCAATGCCAGGAATCATTCCCTGGAAATGGAAGCACAGCTGCCACACACCAGCACAGCATCCTTCTACCGCAGTCCAGCTACAGGTCTCCCATGCAAATTTCCTGTTCTGGAAGGCAAGAGAGTTAAACAGCATTGACAAGGGCTAACCCACAGCACTTAGCTTCAAGACCAGAAACTGCTCTTGGGTGCATTTCATTAACTGCAGAGAAGCAATCACAGCCTCTCCAAGCTTTATCTGCTATTATTCCTAGAACAATATTTTAAAAGTGGCAGATGCAATGATGAGGCACACAAGCAATGCCTGATCAGCAGCACCTGACAAAAGTCACCTACACATTGTAGCACACAAGAAGAAAATTAGAAACTCGTAGGGTTCATCATGCCTTCTTCCTGTTTCCTCTGAGTAGGCAGACATTGCATGTGAACTAGTAATTTCCAAAGTCTCATTTACTTTCTCACTTAAATAAAAAAGTTTTATACATTTAGAATACATTCTTACAGTAAGGCTACTCTCTAATAAAGGAGTAAGGTAGAATAGCTAAGAGAATGTACTTTAGAGTACTGATCATTTGGCAGTAGTTATTTCAAAGGGACATTATTTAGAAATTACTTCTAATTACTTGTCATTATCAAATTTGCTTCTGTAGATCAAGAATGTAATTACTAGTGGGTCTATACTGTAATGCTGGAGCTACAGCAATGTTGGTAAATACATTCTCATAACAGATAACGTGCAAAATCAAAAAAAACCCATATTTGACAAGTGACAATACACAGCTGTTCTGTGTTGCCAATCTTGAAACAAATATCTTTGACATTTCTTTAAATTTTCAGTTAACTTGAAACAGTCTATTTAAAACTGCCCTTTTCATAATCTGATGCCTCTGACGCCTTTGCTCTAATGTTAGAATGTGCAATATATCACACAGAAAATGCATTATGTAAAACCCATTTCCCACTGCTTAAGCATTTATTACCCAATTCAGTAAAGACAAACAATTTTGTTTAACAACCTTCTTGGGCACGGATCTAACTTTCCAGCCTAGCTCAGACCATTGAAAATTCCTATGTTACCTGTATCTTTCTGTAAACCAACTGTTTCCTTGAAAAAGTGTTTTTGTTAATTTACAAGAAAAACTTTATCATATGCTTTGTTATATACATACATATATATCCTAGGCTGCACTGTATCATTTGACTTTTACAAAACAAGTTTAGAAAACCATGTGGCACACCCCAAAAAAACTACATACTCTTTTAAGCAGATGAAAACCAAAACCAAGCGAGACGGTTCTATTTCTTTTTTTCCAGGAGCAACCCGCACACACCGTACCGTCACCGCGGGGGGGTTCAAGAGTTGAGCAGAAGCAGCAGGCTGATGAGCAGGTGACAAGCCAGCAGTCACTCCCCGGCGCCGCTGAGCAGTGTCCCGGGGAGCCGATCCCGGGGGCCGGTGGGAACCGGGCACCTCCCGGGACGGACCCGGCCGGAAGCGCGGCCCCCGCGCCCGGGGAGGAGGAAGCCCCCACAGGCGGCTCCAGGGCCCTGGGACGCGGCCGAGCGCGCCCACCCGGCTCCGGCAGCACTCCTGCCCCCGCTGCCCGCCGACGCCTCCGGCGGCCCCGCCGGGAGAAGAGACGCCGGGTGCCCACGCAGCCTCCTCGGGGCGCCGACCCCCGAGCAGTTCCGGCCCCCGGGCACGGATCCCCGGGGCTAGAACGCCTTCCCGGTGGTGGGACCGCGGCCGGGGAAAGCGGCACAGCCGCGGGCGCTCCCTGCGGTCCCCCGTGCAACTCTCGTCCCGCTCCCGCCGCCCGTCCCGCCGTCCCTCGGCCGGGCGGAGCAGCCGCCGGTCCCGCGGAACTGCTGCGGCCGCGGCGCCGCCGCCCGCCTCGCCTCACCTCACGGTGTGGCCGGAGCCCTGCAGAGCCCGGCGCAGCACAAGCCCGGCCTGAGCCCATCCGTCCGGGAAGTTTCCTGCCATCACAGTGGCCGGGGAAAACAAAAGCTTCGGAGCCGGGAGCGGGAGGAGACGGAGGAAGGGCAGCGCAAGCAGAGAAGTGAGGGGCATTGCTCGCCCGCCACGCCGCTGCCCTCGGCTGCCGACTCGCGCGGAGGACAGCCCGCTCAGCGCCGCCTCCCCATTCGCTTCGGCGGCGGCTCCGCTGCCCGGGCAGCGCCGCGGAACCGGCGGACCGAGGAGCAGGCAGGCGAGCCAGCGCCTCCCTCGCTTCCCTCCCTCCGTCCGTGCCCGCCCGCCAGCAGCCCGCCCCGCCTCGTCCCGCCCGCCGCCGCCGCCGCCACCGCCGCCACCGCAGAGCCGCCGAGCCCCGCCCGCGCCGCGGCTCCGCCCCCCGGGGGCGCGCGCACGCTGCGGCCGAGCGGCTCCCGCCGCCCCTGGGGACCGTGGGCGCTTCCCGGCGGAGCGGCCGCGCCACCCCCGTGCCCCGCTCCCGCGGGCGGCGCAGGCCGGCTCAGCAGATCCGCAACCCCCCTTGCCATGGCTCACCGCCCAGCGCCGAGCAGGCTGTTGCTGTAAAGTTGGAGGCGTGTCTTTAACAATCCAGGTAAAAGATGCTGAGGAGCAGGATTAACAAATGCAGAGGAGCGCCAAGCCTCCTGCCAGGCAGGGCCATAAATACGGTATGCGCTTAGTGGTACTGCAGTCCTGGTGTACGCAAAGGGAAAGTTAATATATTTCCAAGCGTCACTTTACTATATAGAGTTGTTCAGCTGGTTTTTAAGGACCAAGACAAACCGTTTTGTCTCCTCGTTGTCCACACGTCTAACTTGGTAAGGAGGATCTTCCAAATAGGATGCAGTTGCAATGCTAGGGTTGCATAGTGTGTGGCATTGGCAGCCATATCACTTCCGAACTGGGATAGGGTGACTCCTGATTCTGAGAAGGGGAAGGCCATAGATGATAATTTCAGAAAAAAGTCTACATGGTTCAGGGTAGCTAATGTAGTGTTAAGTAATTGTTTTAATATATTAGTATGTATTAGTGCCAAGACTCACTATAGCATATTAAATGGCTGTAAAAGGATGCAAATTGATACAGAAACTATATTTTCTTACAAAGCTTGGTATCTGAAGGAAGATTCTTTCACGATTCCTATTCCTATTCAAAGTACATTTACCTGATTGCCAACAAGCTCCTCTCTCTCTCATCAGATCACAACTGCACAAAGTGGACTCAGACCATTAAAGAAGAGAATAAGGAAGCTTCTCGTTCTCCCAAATGGATCTCTTAAGCACACAGCTGATGGGATGTCAGCAGAATGCTAGTAGCTACATCTAATCAAAGCACTGATATTGCTTTGATTTTTGAGGAGTTCAACTCTTGATTGAGTTCAGCAGCCCTGCACCCACAAGGTTATGACTGGGAACTGCAAGGTGGAGAAAAAGCAATTCTTTCTGTCTTCTTTACAAAATTCTTGACTAAGAATTATTTCTTTATTCTTAAAATTATTTCTATATTCTTAAATTTTCTTTTACAAGTGGGTGTGAGCACTGTTTTTTTGGTTGCAATTTCCTGTCAGAATTAAGTTCAGTTCTCATCACTGTTAAATTCTGCTGCTCATTATGAATGCAAAAGACCTAAAGAAACTGTGGGCTTTGTTTTTTGGGATGCACTCTGAACTCCTCTCATCTGAAATAGCAGCTTACAAATAACCTGCCCCACAGGGGCTTTTGATTTGTTTTGCTGTGGTTGGATAAAGTTTTAAAAGGGTTTTTCTAGCATAGGGGAGGCGTGATATATTGATTCAATTTGAAAATCCTCAGATATTATCACTGCACTCCATCTTGTGGAAGAGACAACAACATGTTTTTAAATGATTCTGTAGTGGTTTGAGTAATTAAACCTAACAGTGTTTGGTTTGTACTGCCAAAACAAAGAACTACATATAGCAATGGATACAAGAAGTTGCTTAATCTTAATTTGCCTAAGTGTACCCGGTGGGTTTCTGTAAATGTCCCTTGGTTTTAGATATGAGCTTTACATATTCTTTGTTTTGGAAAGGAGCTTTAGGAAAGCATTCTAAGAGCCTGATTTGAAAAGCGAAACTAAAGAAGAAAAGAATCTGCTTTCTAGGTGAGGTTGCCAAGGAGCACTCCAGATTTGGGAGAGTTTTGGGGATGGTGATCCATTGGGACGATGTGGCTGGGGTAAAGACTCTGCTAAGCAAGATTGCTCTGTAGGGAACTTGCTGGGTTTGGGGTTTGGTCTGTGTGGTTTTGGTGGTTTTTTGTTACCCTTGTATTAAGTACAATAATCCAGTTGTATCTGGACAGTGTTTTGAGGTTCACTCTCCTACCAAAAAAAAAAAAAAAAAAGAAAAAAAGAAAGTTATGAGATTCACTCATGTATTTCTGAAACTTCCTTTCATAGCTTGTGACCTTTTCCCCTTAATGTCTAGTGCTGCTTTGGGAAATCAAAATAGGTATTGAGGCAACAATTGTGAACCATAGCAGGGGCATAGTCATACATACCTGTAACTGACCAGATTCAGAGAAAATTGAGAAACTTATCTGGGTTCACTGCTATAAAAAGGTTAACCTTATAATAGTTGCCCTAGGACAAGCATGAAGATAAAGCCGTTTAACTTTAATGAATAACTTAAAATACAAAGGCCTAGTTATTCTAACTGTTCCGGGGGCAGAAGAAAAAAGGTTTTATTGGAAAAAGATTGTAGAAAAGCTTAGTCATTCAGACCCAAAGAAGCAGGGAAAAACAGGTCTTGCATGTGAAGGAGTTAGGAGAAAATTCTATTGTACAAATGAGGATCCTCTGAATTACCTCACCCCAGAAATAGGTTCCACAAGGAGACTGAAAGTAATTAGCAGTCATGCGTTACTTTTTCTTTTTGTTGTTGTTGGTTTTTTGTTTGGTTTTGTTTTGTTTTTTTTTTTTTTTGTTGTTGTTGTTGTTTTTTCCCCATAACTCTCCCATCCCTTTTAGTAGCAGTAATGTCTGTGCCTCTCCCTATGATGTGACATAGAGCAGCAGTGCTGAATGAAGCACTGGCCTTTTCTGTATCATTTACAAACAAGGGGGTTGGACAACAACTTGCTGAAGGCTGCTGTGTTTTACTGCTCCAGACTGAGCTGTCTAGTAAGACTGAATTGATCTAACTAATGCCTCAGTGCAAACAAAGCCTTGAAGGTGGAGTGTCTCTGTCTACTATTCTAATAGTGGAGACAGGTCTCATTAGTTCCTGATGTATACTAAAGGCGGGCAATCTTCATTGACTACAGTGTTTGTTAGCCTTTTCCAGACTCCTTGGTCGTTTTCCTAAAGCAATGACTCACTACTCCATCACTGCACTGATTACATTAAATTGTTACTATTATTGCATAGTAACATAAATAACATAATGTTTATGTTAATTCACTTTGTGTGCAACTGCCAGAATTATTGAAACAGTCCTCAATAGAAAGAAACCTACATGAGCATTTTGGCATTATTTAGACTCTTTCTGATTATGCTTTTTGATATTGTAGGTAAACCTTGGAGCAAATTACCAGACCTTTTTGTAAAACCATTAGTATTGTGTGAGGGAAAATCAGGACAGTACTGCTCTTAAATATCTACTCTAGTTCAGCCTTGCAGATTTTTTTTTTTTTTCCTTACAGAACAGGCCAAGAGTAATCTTGGGGCAGGGGTAAGAGGGAAGATTTCCCAAAATGAAGTCTGTTTTTTTGAAGAATTCAATATGGATGATAAAACAATGCAATTAGATTTGGGGATTTTTCCAACAGTAGCAAGAAAACATGCAAATGAACAGAACAAAAGTCAGATGTTTAGAGAATATATATTTGCATTTATTTTATTAAGCAGAGAGTTGTACACAATCCCAACAGTGTCTTGAGTTTCAAAACTGCCTCTGAACTCTGTGCCCAGGAGGGAAAAGATTTCAAAATGTAGTTTCTGCTATATGCAACATAAGAAAAACTCTTATCATCCTTTTTGCCTGCTTTTTTCTTTGTAATAGAATGAATTTGAAGACGTGAAAAAACACAGTATAGTGTAACAAGGAAAAGATAGTACTAAGGTCTGACCTTGGTGGATTATTCATATGTTTGAAGTTACACAGGTATTTTGTTATGCTTACCACAGTAACTGAAGCAAGGGAAGAAAGACTGGTGAGTAAGGATTACAGTGGTAAAACAGGTGCTGTTTTGAAGTGGAAATTTATGACATTGACCTGAGCATTGGTGCAGAAGGCTGGTGAATTGGAGCTGATATTGAAATGTAGCACAAAAATGCTTTCACACCTTTTCTCTAGAAAAATTTAATCCTCTAGAGCTGTGTTTGCAATGGAGCACATTATCAGCTAATCATTTCCTCACAGCTTCATTACTTTGTTTTCTATCCTGTTTTCACTCTGAGAGGAAGAAAGAAAGAGAAAGCATGTCAATAAATTTTTTCTCATTGCCAAGCAAATATGAGATGGTTTAGTATACAATTTCAGGTATTGCCACATATTCAGTGTCTCTTGGCTTCCTTTGACCATCTGACTGCTATTGAATTCCTCTTTTATTTCTTATAACAAAGATGAAAAGATGGTAAACAAACCTCACGAATTCACCTGCCTCCCAAAGGCCATTTGAGGCTTCAGTTGCTACTGTTTGCCTTTGAAGCAAGATAAACCAAAGCTCTATTGCATCTGTGCACCATCCACAGCAGCATGAAAAGAATGTTTTGAGAAAATTCAGCTTTCAATTTCCAATCTGCATGACCTGGTAATGTCTGGGCTGTAACTTAAGTAACTTAAATCCTTCAGTAATTATAATAATTTAAGGAGCCTGGGGAAGTGGAGGACAAAGCACAGAATAGTCTCCAATTTTGCTCTTAATTTTTTTGCTCAATTCTGAAAACCATGTATATTCATCCCATATGCTAGTTTTAAGAAAGGAATGAAACTCAACATTTCTCTTCATTTGAACTCTCCCATAATAGAACCAGCAAACTTCTCGCAGTTAATATGCTGGACAGGGAGGCTATGTCCAGTATTACTGAAACTGATAAACTCTTTTTAGTTTGTTTCCTTTTGTTCTGTCATCCAGGAACCAAGGGCAAACAATATTTCCTGGATTTCCTAGTGAGAAACTATAAACTCCTTTCCCCACTCTCTACCTTCCCCTATTCCCAGTTCAGTGTTGCCCATGCTTCCATGATTATGGTGTAATAAAAGAAGTCCTTCCCCCATTCCAATCCCATCTGTGCCTGGTTTTAATAATTTGCTATGGTATCACCTTCAGCCTAGATTTATATCTACTTCAGTTACTTGATATAATTTTCAGTAGGATCTCTATGATACATATTGGTATATCTGTTTTGAAACAGTTTTTTTTAACTGAAAACATAGGAATTAAAATTAGGAATGTTAGTTTTCAGCAAATCCTTTAGGATCCTTACATTACAGTCTAGGGAAACTGGCTGGAATGATTTTTCAATGTCTTTGTCAAGGAAACTATCTACAATGTAGTGTCTGAGCGTGTCCAGTTTTTTGTTCAACTACACTCTAAGAAAATAATTACAAAATATGACTTCTGCCACAAGCACCTTTCTTTTGTGATGGCACAAATTTGGTAATCTAATTCTGTGTATCATGTTAGAATTGTCGCCATTCATTCACCAGCAAATTTGACTTTTTTAGAAGATGCTAGAAGTGAAGATGGACAACATAGATGCTATTTATTAGAAACATTTTTGTTTCTTTTTATTCAGAACCAAAATCAATGCCCCATGAACTTAATCTTATGAAGTTATCTTTATAATAAAAGAGGTTTCTGAACTGAAAACCAATAATGAATGCTTCACAGATCCTCCAGTTAAATAAAAATAATGGTGAAAAACTCATTTATCATTGAAAGAAAACATTACATTAAATAAGATATTATTCCCATTTACCATTGGAAAATACCTGTGTTGGAATTCCCTTCTCTGAACTGGTAAGTGACTTCAGCAAAGACTGAACATGAAATAGTACTTTAAAACAAAATTTTCTGTTCAGTCATTTTAATGAAAATATAAAAATTTTACTGAGATGTTCCACATAATTTTTAGTTCTCTCTTTAAAATAGTTGCAACCCTATTTTAATTGCACCTGGGATTATCTAAGTTTTCAAATTCTCTGTAAGTACTCTTTGTCCTAAATATGCCATACAATTTTTTGAGCAGCACTAGTAACTCAAGAGTGACTTTCAGTTGTGGAGGCCTTTACAATTCACACCCCTCAAAGAGGAAAAAAATGTCCTAAGAACATCCATGAATGGGGAAAATGCCCTACTGTCTTGGACTGTGGATCTTTTTTTCTCAGAGAATGGCAAGAGACCCTCTCACCAAAACACATCAGGTATTTTGAGTGTACATCAAATGCCATCTCTCCTCCAGATATGCTCACTGAAGTTCCTGCTGTGCTTTTCCCTCTGCACTTTTTATTTATACACTCCCAAACCAAGACCCTTTCAAGTTGCAGCTTCCAGATCCTGTTGATTGTACATGTCACCTGAAGAAGGAAGCTGGATGGAGGCATCCTGATGACAGTGGAACCTGTGTATATTCATTTCATCATTGTCCCACGTCTTCAGACAGAGCATCACTGGGCAGCCTCCACCTGCTCCTTGGTTAACCTCCAAGAAGCGATGAGTGATGTCAGAGTTTCTCTGCTTCATGCCCTCCTCCAGTTCACTAGGTCTGAATTTTCAGATCTATAATGCTTCCCTTTCTATCATTTGTTGTTTGTTGTTGTCTATTTTTTGTCCTTGTTTTCATTACCTATAGCCCTCTCCCCCCCTTGGGGGTCTTCAAGGTTTTGCTTATGCAAAATTCTGTTTTTCTAAACAGAAAAGCAAATAGAAACAGCAACAGCAAGAGAAACTGTTTACAGAGTGCACACAAGCTTGGGCACCGTCTTCAAACTCTTCTTTGTACTCGCCTAGCTTCTCTGGCTCTTACAAAAGTAAATTGTTGCCTAGTCCTTTCACTGTCCCTTTTTTTTTTGGACTTGTTGTAAATGAACTTATCCAATTCCTGTCTGAACTTATTGCTGCTATCTGCTTCCACAATATCTTTTGGCAGCAAGTCCAGAAATACCCTAGCCACTGGAAAGTAATGTGTTATTTTTATCTGTTTTAATTTAATTCCACTGAATGAGCCAAACTCTGAAATTTGATGAAAAATATTAATCCTTATAGCCACCTTCATGATTTCATAAAGCTTGAAGAAGTTTCACCACTGCCTTCTCCCAGTTTGAAATTTTTGAGTCTGATCTCCTAAGACAGCCTCTCCCTTTAATAATTTTGGTTGTCTTCTGTGTATCTTCCCTACCTTTTTCATGTCCTATTCCAGATATTAAGACAAATCTATTTTTAGGTCCCATGAACTTGTACCATCTTTTGTATAATGCATGAACATGTCTATTGATCCCAGTCCTATAAGTCTTCCAAAGGAAAAACTCTACCTGGAGTGAAGTGGAATTATTATTTAAATAAGCTCAAACATATCTTTGTTATAAGGTAGATGAGATGAAAAAGCAGTAGATCCTAGCTAGGAAGACAGTAGAGAGCAAATTAGACTTGTCTTTGGATCAGTATCTGAGAGCAAAGATTGAAAAGCCAGTTGCTTATTTTGGGGCTGGTCATCTCCATGCTGAGGATGGAAAGAGGAGAGGAAGGGGTGTTCCTTAAACATCATTGAAGTCTTCATAGATTCTGGGTTTTTTTCTTAATTTCATTTCCAATTTTCAGATGCAGAAGTGCCAAAAGTGAACAACTAGGAGAGGTTTTTGTGACAGCAGCTCTCTGGCCACAGAGAGCAATGCACAACTTTCCCAGGCATTGTCTGGGGGAAGGCTGTGAGAAGATCAGAGAAAAGAATGAGAAACAATTCTTATCTTCACTTGCTGCACCTGTTGTGGAATGTGTTACGGAGATTTGTTTACCAAAGGGTGGTTTCTTAATTGGCCAATGGTAATGATGTTTAGATTGAAGGACCAATTTGGTCCACCTGTATCATGATTGTCTGTAAGGGTGATAAGTTTCTTAATAAGTACAGTATAATAAAGTGATTGATCAGCCTTCTGAGAATCATGGAGTCAATGCTAATTATTACCTAGCTGGGAGCCTGCAGCGAAAGGTTTTATTTGAGACTTTATGACATTGAGCTGTTTGTGTGTGTATGTTTGGAGACAGCCCTCATATGATGCACTCTTTGGCTTGAAGGCCTTTAACTAGAGTTCAAACAGAGAGATACAGGTTGAAGAAAGAATTTATTTTAAATCTATTTTTATTAAAGAAGTAATTACTTTCTAGAAATGAGACATTTTGCATATTACTTTTTTCTTGGCACATTAGCCCTTCTCAATTCACTGTTCATATAAAATAACAATGTAGGACACCTGTAAAGGCAATTGCACAGACAGCTGACTGTTCTCTTATAAGATTCTTTGCTGGTTTCGTTTTGTATTTTAAAAATCCAGACATTTTAAATCCCATTTTATAACAAATAAAAGATAGTGCTCTCTTTGGGGAGTTTTTAGGGCATGTTGTAAAATATCCAAAGAATACATAAAATACCTATGTAAAAATGAATATTTTCACACTGTTCTATTCTTATGCATGCTCATTACTGGAGAGGAAAGGATTAGTAATATGAAAGCCCTATACCCTTTTAAAGCAACTCTGTGTTATTAAAAGTAAACAAGTTTGAAGAATGAACCTTTTACTAATGATCAGCATACCCTTTCCATTTTTGTCTTCAGGTAGACCAGCTGACACCAGATCTTGCTTTTTTTTTTAATACAGGGAGGAGATGATTACAGCAAAGTTGTGTTTTAACTAAAAAACTTGATAAAGCCATCATTTTTTCAATTTCACATCATGTCTACTGAAGCATATTTCTTTGGATTGCTCTGCATAAAGTCCTTTATAATACTATGATTGATGCCTATAAGTAGACAGTGAGATTGCAATCACCAAAGAGGGAGAAGAGCTATGAATAAATTTAGGCTTGAAATTTCGAACATTTCTAATAGTCAGAAGAATCAGGTTCTGGAATAGTTTTTCAGCAGAAGTCTTGGTAGGATGATCTTTCAGTACAGAGATGACATATGTGATTTCTAGCTCTGCCAACTTAATCACAAGACTGTAACACAGCCTGCAGTCTTTATTTCTTGTGCAGAACCAAAAAATAAAAATCCCAATATTTAATTCCATAGTCTAAGCATCCTACTGTCTGTGTGGGACATAGCTGCATTTTTAATTTAGGGAATGAAAGGAAAAAATCCACATATTTTTCTCTACTACACCTTGCCTGTGAGCTCTTATGGAGCTGTGGATTATTTAACATAACTTTTGTGAGAGTGTCAGTGGAAGTCTTAGACATGATTGTTTTTCTGCTGGAGGGCACTGCCATCAGAGTAGAGCTGGCAGAAAGGCTCATACAAGTTTCTTATTTTCTTCAGCAAAAGGTCAGCCAAGATTAGCTCAAAATACATTAGTCAGTAGGTTAAACTATGCCAGCTGACTTTGTGCAGAAGTAGATTAGGAGTGCCCACAAAGGCCGTTCCACAGCTGAGCTCCCGAGGCAAGTGAACTCAGAAAGGACAGCTTCTGCCATTTCTGTGGTGACTGACACAGCTCAGTAGCTGTATCCATGCAACCAGTTATTTCTGCTTCCATCTGAATTACAGTCTCCTTGCAGAGAGGACTGTTGAAATACTAGGCTTGTAATGTTTCTGGTCAGGTTGAAAATGCTGTGCTTCCAGATATATGCATTCTGAGATGCTTTCCTGTGGTGCACTGAGAAATGCCTGATAGATGGAAGGAAAAATCAATGGGCAATACAGACTTGTGCCTGCTTCCATGCTGCCCTGATGCCTATTTCTTCTTGGCCTGTTTGGATGGTTCTGTACCACAGTGCTGGTCCTTCTAAGTGCTGAAACACTGCTGAATGGGTGTTTGACACCTTGACCAATGAATGTCAGTAGATCTTTACAGGAGCAAGAAGTAAGAAACGTGTACCAAATTATAACGTGCTTTCCAGCAGTGAGTGACTTATGAACTTCCTAAACCACTTGTTCTTCCTAGGAGTTACATCCCAACTGCTGTGTTTATTAACTACACAATAATTTTTACTTCAGTGTTGATTTTTTGAGATTTTTTTTTTCTACTTTGTTTGAAATCTGCTTATGTTTTTATCTCATGGCAATGAGTTCCACAATTTAATTATACATTAAAAGAAGTACTGGTTTGCAGGACTCGCAGTGCACTGTAGCTATACATTCCTCAAAGCCTGTTTGCCATTTTAGTGCCCTCGTTGCAAAGTTCCAGCCTACAGGGACACAGAGAAACTAGAAATGGGAAAGATCTATTGTATCACAGGGTTAGCTCCAGCTTTAATAGAAAATGTTTCAGTCACAGCTTGACATGATAACATCAATGTACTTAAAAGATACAGCAGGTCTCAGAACAGTCTGCAGGGTGTGAAAACAGACTTCTACAGCCCCCAGGGTGTTTTTCCTCAACAGAATGAACAGGGCAGGATTCATGCTAGAGCTGCTGTGAACATCTCTATTGGAATAATTGATATTTTGAGTAGGCTTGTCATTTTCCGGACCACTGTGGTTCTAAAGATATTTCCTGTCTTTCTTCAACAGTTGCTAGACTAACACTGTGTGCATTTCCTTGTATAGGTATTACATTGCTGTATTAATGAACCACAGATTGTAAGTATCTTCATGGGGAATACAGTTGGTTTTCCATACCATAAACATTGGTTAAAGAAGAGGCAACAAATTGGTGACAGTTTACCACAAACAGTCAGTCTAGAAGTAGAGTTCAGTCTTAAAACAATGTAACTCACTGTGGCAATTTTCTAAGGATTAAGCAGGATTGTTTCTCACTGGAAATTGCTTGATCAATAGTGGGTTTCTTATTTTTCCCCTAAGCTTCTTCTGTATTTCAAAAGAAATGGGAAATTAAGGAAGTGTTACATCACTTTATTTTAGATCAAATTGGAGTATCACAGTAGTCATGTCTAAGATTATATAAATTATGAAATAAAAACAAAAGAAGAACTCAGAATAACCATGAATGATTGAAAAACATAATTTCCTCTGGAATAATTCAGAATAAATAAAGATCAGCTAGTTTAAACAAAAACTCCTCCTCCTACTGAGGGCTTTTCCTAACAAACAGCAACGTCAACACTGCAAATTTATATAATATATTAATTTAGTGGCTGTCCAAAATGATATAAAGATGATTTATGTGAATATTGCATACACCTCTAAAAACCAATCTCTTATTGAACAGAAAAATTGTAATTATCAACAATAATACACTGTATTTTGGATCAGCAGTGTGATTTCTGGGTATCTGAATAATTCCATCTGTAGGCAAAATACATGAGCTGCTATCCATTTTCCTTTTCTCAGAAAATAATAGGAAACAAATATTGAAGAAAATGCCTAATTATGTGCTAAAAACATTCCTCCAAATCAATCCTCAATATTTGATTAAAATATCATAGATTTTACATTAACACAGATATTTTCTTTCTCAAGGAGGGAAACTATATTATGGGTTTTTTTACTCAGGAAGTTTTAAATCATTCAGTCCTGTTATTGGATGAAAATATTTATTTCCATCCTGTTTTAAATGGAAGTTTCTAAGCCTTATGATTGTAAAGAAAATATTATAAACCCACAGTAAAGGTTCAGTAATTGTAAACTAAGTGAACCCTAAAATCCCCATACTTTTAAAATTCTATGATGCTTGAGGGCATTAATACAATTTTTGACAACTGGGACAAAAGACTTTACCATGCTTGAAACTGAACGATATTGTAATTCCTACCTCTTTGCAGCCATTTATTGTAATGAGAAATCACTTAGATGGTTTTATAGCCTCACTTTGCATTCCAACAAACTCATACAGATTAAGTGACTCCAAAGTGAAGATGCTACTTATTTTTTCATGTATATCCTTTGTTACAAAGTGCCCTCAATTAATGGGAACATTCAGTGGTATGCTGAACAAAGACAAAAAGCTTTTATAACAGATAAAATTTTGAAAAACTCAGTAATTCATCACATCACCTACCTGAGTTTATTTTACCTAGATAGAAATGCCATACACATTTTAATTGGCACAGTATATACTATTGCTAGGTTTTAAACCAGGTTCAGGTTTTTAATATCTGATAATATATGTAGCAAGAAGAGTAAATTGCCAGTTATAGTTAGCTTAACGCAAAATTTAGTACAGGGCAGTTACTTAAAAGAACTCAATTCTATCAACCCAGATCTCAAAGCTCATCATAGACTTTTTATATACTTTTAACCATTATAACTGGCTCTGATTTATATACATTTCTAACTGAAGCAAGCCTTCCAGACTGCACATGCATGAAATCCACCTACTAGGTATATGGGGACTGTGGAGCAAATAAGATACAAGCAGCTCCACAATTGTGCATTGACTTTGAGGGAAAAAATTAATGCCTAGTGAACCATTAGCATCACCACAAAAATTTTGGAAGTCTGGTCAAAGCTACCCTTCTCCATTCCCACTGAGAATTCACATAGTTAAAATAGTAGTTTTATCTAATATTCCTAATCTTTTTTTTTTTTTTTTTGGATACTCAACATTAATTTTCAGTGTAATTCTCTCCCAGGTGTTTGTGTTCTACAAAAGATTTTTGTTTCTAAGTACATGTTCTGCTCTGGTAATTATCCCTCCTGCACTGTAATTCAAGCCTGAAAGTTGATTTATTCTCCATGTATTCTTGTTACAATTAAATGTGTCGCCTTTGTAACTGACTTAACATCTGACAAAGCTGATCTAAACAGTTGCAGAAATGTCTCATTGCCTTCGCAGTTATGAGCCCAATTAACTTGTCAGCATTTTCCAATGGTTATTTACTACAGATTTACCACAGCTCTAATCAGCTACAGAGGCAGGAGAAGGACAACTGGGGTAGGGAATGTCTTTCCTTGCACTTTTCTAGTAACAAGTGGATCCTCATGACACAAGTATTTTTGGATCTGTAGGAGTCAAAATGGTGGTGGAGCAGAAAATCATTG